AATGTGCCACACAATAATTAAATATGACTAATACGTATTTTGTAATGCTGCAAGCAGAAAGTGAAGCTTAATAAGTATATGAAAGGAATTCCAGATTTTGAATATTTTCTTGCTATTGCTCACGTGAAAACTATTGCTACAGAATTGAAATGCTTGGTTGCTTTGCACCATTTGAATGTTTGAATGAAGTTGATACGTCGTTACGTTGTACGTCAAGCTGGATCAGTTTTCTACTTTGTAACAGATGGCACTAGATCAAGTAGATAAGGCTGCACACCGAACTTAAATAATATAAATGTTTGCAATAAGAGCCGATCCGGCAATTGTGACCCGTTGTATGAAAACGAAATTTGTTTCATTCTAGGTAGATCAGACTTTCGTTCAGGTTGACCCGTAGAAACTGTAGTTGTACCAGTCTCAAATAAAAATATTTTTACATCATTTCTGCCACTAGATGGAATGAGTGAGACATCTCATACTCGACATGTATTACATATCAGTTTGGCCATCACATTTCTGCGGTGATCAACACATACTGCCATGATTATTTCGTTGCAAATAATAAATACAATATTTTACTTTTACCACTATTTTTTGTTATAGAATTCAAGAGCTTCTACAAGATTCTGTAGTTAATCGTTATTACGTTTACAAATCAGTGCTTGGATTTGACGAGTATTGCAGTTTAGTCTCGCTACTTTTATCTTTATCGATTATTTATCACGTTACGTATTGTATAAAATATCTTGCAGAAATCCTTAACTTGCGTTGTCAAGGTGATTGTTACTTTTCCAGACTGATTCAAGCATTCATTCCTAATTCATCTTTTTTATTGATTATTAGCGTTTAGACGAGGGTGCAAAACTTACTTATACCAACTTTGTACTGAATCATTCAGATACTCAAAAGATATGCTTCAAAGAATCTGATTATGGAATTATTTGTAAGCCCTAAATACTAATTACTGATAAATATTGTGTCAAAGATTAAGTAAGTCATCAACTCGATAATAAATTAAGTTTAAACTCATTTGAAGAACTTGTCACCTGTACTCCTAATCAACAATAATTTTTGAATATTTTATTTTTTTTACCATGCATAAAACGATTTTTGTTTTGCTTCTTCTTCAATTATCATTCTTCATGCATGTGTACTCAGCACTTTTGTTCAATTACATGACTCCTCTAAAATGCTCAAATACCACTACAAGTTATTTTAATCCAGTAAATTTTCTATGTGCTTCTTGTAATCTTGGTGCTGTTGCTAGCAAGGATCGGTTATATTGCACTTGTCCATTAGGATTCGTATTAGTTTCTGATGGAAGTTGTAAAAAGTGCGAAGAAGGTAATTAAAACTTATCAAAAAGATTCTGAAAAATATCAAAACCTAACTTTCATAATATTTAATTGCACAAGCAAAATGGTTTGAATTGCTTGCGAAAATTAAAAAAATTTAGTGTGATTATTATAGTACGGACAGTAAGTAATAGAGATTTATGAGTCAGATAGATATCTTTGATTACTTTTTATGCCATTACTTGCATCGAAATTAAATTTTAACTTGCATTCCCAGTAAAGTGAAAATTTGTTTTCAGGTACGAATGTTAGCGAAGATGGTCAATTTTGTGTGCAGTGTGCAACAGATGGAACAAATACTGCTGAGCGATGTGCATCATGTCCGTCTCGATATTTTATGCGAAAAATAATTTCCGAAAATGGTACTATGATGGAGCAAAGTTGTGCACAGTGCCCAAATAATACTAAAGTTTCACAAAGTGGTGACACTTGCATACCGTGCCTGCAAACAGATAAAAACTGCGACTGCCATGTAAGTATTCACTTATTTACCATAGTGCTGAATATAATTCAAGAAATTTTCAAATAAACTGAGGGAAAATTTTTTCGAGTGGTAAGTTTCTTAATTTTATTTTTGTTTTCAATTTTCAAGTCTTCAAAAATTTTTAAAAAACTTTCAAAATATTATTAATCTTATTTGGAGGTAAATTTAAGAAAAAGATCAACTGAAATTCTAGTATAGTGGTAAAAAGTGTGTCAATGTTCAGAATGACAAGATGTGCAAGAGAATTGAAATAAATGGCATCTCAATTATTGAATTAGAAAGTGGTTCTGAGCGACGTTCAAAATATATTGCTATGAGCATTGGAAACGTTGTACAAAATTGTTTGCATGGACATTCACAAGCTTGTCAGCATTTAGCGAATCTGTGTGTGCTACAAAATTATCGGATTCAGCAACTTTCAACTTGTACAGAATTTCAGAAATTATTCCCTTCTAATGCCCATAAAAGGTGTCCTGGATACTTTTTACACAGTATT